GCAACTGATCAATGCTTCTCTCTCACATCGATGTTTCTCTCTCCCCCTTCTCTCTCTAAAAAAGCAAAGAAAAAGTGTCCTTGGGTAAAGATAACGAAATAAAGTTATTAGTTCTTGGTTTGTCTTGAAAGAGACAAAGGCTCACAACCTAAACTGGGGGCAGAAATAGGAATGGGATGAATCAAAATACCCAGGACCCGATGCCTTCTCTTCAAGCTGGCCTCTTTTGCAGTCTGTTGCTTGGTGCTTTTGTATTTTGTAGGCTGTGCACTACTTGAGAAACAGAACCTGCTGTTTCATTGGAGCAGCCTAAAAGTGCAGAGCCTAGAGAAAAGACTGCTCCTGACAACAGAGTTTGCTAGTTGAGAGTAGGAACACAGAAACTCACCCCTTGCTTTCTGAAAGTGGAAGCAGCACTGCCTCTGGCTTGCCTCCTTCCGTCTGCCACCTAGTGGTTCCCTGGAGAATACCATTCTCCTGCTTAGGACTGGCCAGGGAGGACTCCTGTTACCATTCTGCATTCTCATCTGATCTTCGTAACGTTTTAGCTCTGGAAGGTACCTTAGAAATAATCTAAGCCAATTTTGTCAATTTGCAGCTAAGGTAACAGAGACCTAGAAGAGAAGCATACAGCTAATAAGTGGTGGAGTCAGGCCTAGAGCCTCTGGCCCAGAGGAGACTGTTATTTATTTTTCTAGCATTTACTCACTCAGCACTCAACCACTTAATCAATATTGTTTTATGGCCATTACGCGCAGGTCCGTGCTGAGCACTGTATGGAAGATGGGAAACCCCTAGCTGCCCTTAAGGACCTTACTGAGAAGGAGGATGGTCGAGCACAAAGGCCATTACACAAAATGATTGCTCTGTGGGAGGCAAAAATCAAGGGCCAGGAGACCATGTAGCCCACCTGCCTGAGAAGGGAAGGCTTCCCTCAGGGGTAGTGTTGGGGCTAACTTCAGGACCAGGGAAATCCTGTAGGTAAGTCCAGGGCAGGCCCAGGCAGGGACACCTGTGGGTAATGGTGTGCAGGGCAAATGGAGGTGGTTGCTTCCGGCCACCTCTCGGAGTCTAGTATTGGCAGAGCATCAAGTCACAGGTGAGGGAAGGGCTAGCAGTGAGCAGACCTGCAGCTGGGTGAGGGGCCTTGTGTGCCTGCATAGGTGTTTAGAATAAGCACCTTTGAAGGATTTTTTTTAAAGATTTTTAAAATTTATTCATTTTAGAGAGGGAAGGGAGGGAGGGGGAGAGGGAGAGAGAGAGAGAGAGAGAGAGAGAGAGAGAGAGAGAGAGAGAGAGAGATCAATGTGCGGTTGCTGGGGGTTATGGCCTGCAACCCAGGAATGTACCCTGGTTGGGAATCGAACCTGGGACACTTTGGTTCCTAGCCCGTGCTCAATCCACTGAGCTACGCCAGCCAGGGCTTGAAGGATTTTTTATTATGGGTGATAACAAGAGTAAATTTATTTGTTAAATAGAGCTCTCTGGAGGTAGTGAGAAAGATATATTGGACACAAGCAAAACAAGAAGCAGGGAAGCCAGTCAGAATGCCATAGTGTCAGTCCAGGCAAGAGAAAGGTGAAGTCTGCACCAAGCTGGCAGCGCAGGTGTGGATGATGGGAGGGGACATGTGGGAGACATAAACAGACAGTCCTGTTAGCAGTAATAGCAAACAAAGATCCTTTGAATTACAGTTTGGGAAAATGAGTGAGTGGTGATCCATTCACTAATGTAGGGAAAGGAAAGGACTTAGGGGCAGGAAGGAGGGGATGGAAGAGATGATGAGATCAGGTATGGACACGTTTAGTGTCCAGGTACTAGGGGGACAATTAGGAAATGACAGTCAGTTGGGTATGCATGTGGCTCTAAGAAGATCAAGACCGGCTGTAGAGTCATACATGACCATGAGTGAAATTGTTCAGAGAATGCATAAAGTGAGATAAGAACAGAAGGACCCTGTCCCAGGTTGAGTTTTTCAGAGTTCAGTCTGAATGTTTATTAGAGAGTACTCTCAAAATTGACAGCTATAGAAGGGAGGGAGAGGAAGTAGAATTGGGCAAAGGGAGGAGGAAAGTTGTGATGTAGACCAAAAGCTTCAGTTAACCCAAGGAGAGCTCCAGAGTGGCAATGGCTGTTGATATTGACTGTGTTGGGCCAAAGTGGCTGCATTCATTTCCTTGCCTGCATCAGAGTGCTGCCTCAAAGGTGGCACTAATTTTCACAGTCCTCCTCTGGATGCAATATTGCTTGGCTGGGAAAGGGGAAATTTCATAGTCTACCACTTGACTTTCTCCACTATGATAGTTCTTACTCCACAGGCCAATGACTTGATGTGGGGATTGTGCCAACTTCCAAGTATGTCTATCCCAATTATATATTCAGGGACCAGGCAAATGACCCCAGATGGGTCCAGATGGGTCTGCAGACGCACTGGTCCCTTGGCCAGGACTTCATTTGTTGTCTGGTTCCTGTATGCTCCTACTCTACTGAGAACCATAATCATACTTCACACCTCCAGATCTTAGTTCCAACTCTGAGCCTTGAAATATCTGGGTCTTCTTTCCCTAGTGTACTATTACCTGAGTAAATGGCCACTGGGCCCTTTGGGGAAGGGTAAGGCAGTCACACTGTGTATACTTGGCCATGGTGTTGCAGGGTACCTGGCCACCTCTTCAGTTACTGAGTTCCAGGTCCAGAAACTGATCAAGAGACCACAAGATTTTATTGAGATGACTATACTCAACCTCCTGGTCATCCATCTTGATTTCTTCTGATGGTGTAAAGTGAATACCACTCTTAAAGTAGTCAACTTCAGCTGACCCTCTGGGTACTCTGGAGTGAAAATGGTCCAACGCAGTCATCCTGCATTGGGCCAAAATGGCCTGGCCTTTATTCTGCTGCCTCCCTCAGTCATTGGATGTGGACTGCCGTGTGTGCAGACTCTGAAGGAGGACACAGAAGAAGGCTTTCTGCTAACACTGTTTCTAGCAGCTGAGACAAATCCTTTCTTGAAGTGGGATCTAGGTGGCACATCTCAGAGCCCACCACAGTTGGTGGAATGAGGCTTCTGAGGATGTGGAGAAGGATAGGGTCAGAGCACAGGTGGATAGATTAAACTTTGACTTCTCTCACTGTAATGAGGAGTAAAAGGAAGTAAGAATGGGATCAGATGAAGATGAGGGTTTCAGTAGAGGAATAAGGAATTGGGAAAATTAAGCCGGATAACTTGTATTTTCTTTGTAGAATCGGAAGCAGAGCCATCTGCTGAACTTGGGCTTGGGTTGGGTTAGGGATTGAAGAGAATAGTCCTTAAGGTAAACAAGAGAGGAGGGACTGTCCATACAAAGATTTACTTGTGCACATATGTTTACAGCAGCTTTATTGTAATATCTTCAAATGGGAAATAGCCCAAATAAACATCAACATGTGAATGCATGAACAAATAGTAATATAGCCAGCCACACAATAGAATACTGCTCAGAACTTAAAAAGAAATGAACTATTCATACATGCAACAATCTAGATGAATCTCAAAGTAATTATGATGAGTGAAAAAGACAAAAATATTGTACATACTGTATTATTCCATTTATATAAAACTCTAAACAATGTAAACTAATCTGTAATGACAAAATATGAATGAGTTGTTGGGGAGGGGCTTAAGGATAACTTGGGGTGGCGAACATGTTCACTATTTTGACTGTAGCCATGGTTTCATGTGTTATATGTATGTCAAAACTTCAATTTGTATACTTTAAATATGTGCAGTTACTGTATGTCAATTATACCTTAATAATTTATTTTAAAAATTGAAATTGAACTGAAAATTAACTGTATCATTGAATCATTGAAATTAGCAAATAGAACAAACCTGTAAAAATACTTATACCTTTAAATTTTTAAGTTAGTCAACTTAGACCTAGTTTAAAATCTCTACATAGTAGAGCAAAACTTTTAAAAGGATGTGGTAATTCTGACTTAAATTCCAACAGTCAGTTGTAACAGAATCTGACAAGTTGGGTTCTATTTGCTTTCACCACAAATCTTCCTTCCTCCCCCCCTTCCTTCCTTCCTTCCTTCCTTCCTTCCTTCCTTCCTTCCTTCCTTCCTCCCTCCCTTCCTTTTTGCAAACATTCATTATTAGCATACTGAAGGCTTCCTTATTTCAACTCTCTAGTGTCTCAAAGTGACTAAATTAAAAGGGTCCTTCAGCTGGGATAATAATGGCCAGCATTCACTGCACTTTCAATCTACTTGCTCACAATCCTTTCCACTCCTGAGACATACCTATTCTTATGTCCATTGTGTAGATGAGGAGACAGTCTCAGAGAGGTTAAATCATTAGCCCAAGGCCCAGGCTTATACGCAATTGCAGCTTGGGGGGCAGGGTGTCCGAGGCCGAAATAGTGCCTACCTATCCTCCCTATCTTTCCGACAATCTAGTCGACGCAATTTTCCTTTTCATAGGCTTTCTCCCAATATTGCTACCATTCTTAAGGTTAGCTACACTCAAGGTTTTCCTGGAGTTACAGGGCTACTAGGAGGGTTTTAGTAATCCAAACCCAAAATGGTACGATGGGAGGTGGGTGCTCTCAGAGTGCTTAAAACAGGATTGTCTTTTTAGGGCGTGTCAAGACCTGGGAAGCCAGTGCTGCTATAGCTCCACCACGGGAGTGCCACTAGGTTTACGAATTGGGGTGGGGGAGGAAGGGAAAGCGAGGGCGAGCTCTGCCTGGCGCCGTTGGGCTCCCCGAGGTCACGGCGGACACCAGCCCTGCCGCAGTAAATAACCAGAGCGGGTTTTTCCTCCGCGTCTACATACTTACTGGAGCTCGGGAAAAGATCGGCGACAACGCGTGGCCAAGTCTCTAGTGCGCAAAGCCAGGGAGAGCTGCCCGGCCCCGCCCTCCTGGGCCCCGCCCACTTCCACTCCAGGCCCCGCCCACTTCCACTCCAGGCCCCACCCACTTCCACCCCAGGCCCCACCCACTTCCCCTGATCTGAAACCGAAAGCACGCTCGGTTGCTCGGCGCTCGCCTGCGCAGGTCTAGCGGGACCAGCCGACTGCTGCAAGGACCTGGGTAGCTGCGCTGGTGGGCTGGGGGCCGGGAGGCCTTTATGGAGGGGCCGCAGGCTGCTGCGGGTGGGGCTGTCTCCCTGCACAACTTCAGCGCGAGGCTATGGGAGCAGCTGGTCCACTTCCACGTCATGCGGCTGACGGACTCGCTCTTCCTGTGGGTGGGAGCCACGCCGCACCTGCGCAACCTCGCCGTGGCCATGTGCAGCCGCTTTGTGAGTACCGGTCCGGGCTTGGGCTACTGGGAGGGTGGAGCGGGGAGAGAGGAAACAGTGGCTAGGAACTCGGTGGGGTGCGCGGTCCCTAGGCGGTCGGGCCTATGCGGGCTGGGGGTGGGGGTCTGGGTGTTGGCGGGAGCCTCAAGGCGTGCGGCTGGTGCCGGCTGGAGAGACCGCAGGTTGGGTTCCTCTGGGTGCGCGGGCGTGGCCTTCAGGTCCTTTGGGCCTAGGGGGCCCTTGGAGCTCTCCAGAAAGCTTCCTATGATGTGTTAGGGAATGGGGGTCGGTCGGAATTTGCACCACCTGAGGGGGGCTGTGTACGGTCAGGCCATCGTGTCGGACCTCAGGCAGGTCCCTCTCCACTCCCACCACCCTGCTGGCTCCTTCTCTCTGCCATCTCTGTAGTTGGAGTGTCCCGAGGCTTTATCATGGGATCTCTGCTTCCCGGTCACACTTGCACTCTGGGGGATGGCATCTACTTCTTAGTTTTCATGCTCCATCTGTATTGACCCCACCATTTATTTATGTTTCCAGAACAGACCTCTTTCCTGAATTTCAGACTCCTGTGTCTTTACTTGGAAACCTAATAGGCATCTCATAATAACATTTCAAGACCAAACTCTTGACCTATCCCTTTAAACCTGCTCCTCTCACAGCCAGCGCATCTCTGTTATAGTGACTCCACTGAAACCTAGGAGTCATCCTTGATACTGTTCACTCACACTCCTATATGCCCAATGGCAGTGAATCTGTGAGCACTGCCGTCAGTCAAAACATACACGAGTCAGCGTTCAGTGAAATAAGTCAGAGAGAGAAAGACAAATACCATAAGATTTCACTTATGTGGAACCAAAAAAAACCCAAAACAAACCCCACCAAAAAAAATGAACAAACAGCACAAAACGGAAACAGACTTACCCATACAGAGAACAAACTGGAGGTTGCCAGAGGGCAGTGGAGTCGGGGAATGGATGAAAAAAGGTGAAGGGGAATAGAGGTAAAAATTTTCAGTTTTATAATAAATAAGTCATGGGGATGTAATGAGACTTGTGTGGTAATCATACCATAAGGTATACAGATATAGAATCACGACATTATACCCCTGAAAGTAATGATATTGTATGTCAACTATACTCTAAAAAATACACAGAATCCAGTCATCTCTCACCTCCTTAAGGTCTGCCACCCTGGGCTAGGCTCATGGCATCATTCCTCTGGCTGATTCCCCACTTTGCTTTATGTATTAGTTTCCTAGAGCTGCTGTAACAAAGTTCCACAAACTGGGTGGCTTAAAGAAACAGATTTGTTCTCTCACAGTTCTAGAGGCCAGAAATCTGAAATCAAGGTGTTGTCAGGGCTGGTTCATTCTTGAGTCTCAGAGAGAAGTCATCCATGCCTCTTTGGTGTTGCTGGCAGTCCGTGGTGTTCTGTGGCTTGCAGCTTTATCGCTTCAGTCTCTGTTTCCAATGTCACATGGCCGCCTTCTCCGAGTGTCTCTGTCTGTGTGTGTCATCCTTGCTTACAGGGGCATCAGTCATAATAAAGTAAGGGTCCATGCTACTCAAGTATGACTTCATCTTAACTTACATTTTAATTATTTCTGTAAAAACCCTATTTCCAAATGAAGTTACCATTCACAGGTACTATGGGTTAGGACATGGATGTATCTTTTTGGAGGAGACACAGTTTAATCCATAATAGTACCTTATGGTGAGTTCTTCATGGGACAGCGGACTGCAGTTAGATGCTGTCATTCCTCTACTCCACACCTTTCAAGAGAAAAACATAGAGCACAGTCCAAAGACTTGACAGTGACCCTCCAGGCCCTATCACCTGAGAGAGCTGCCTTGTCTGCGCCCTCCTCCCTGCCCACCCACTGGCCTCTTGGCTGCTGTAGTACACTGGCAAACCCCAGCAGTTGCTCCCTCTGCAGTTTATTGTCAATGTTGAGGTTTGTCTGTTTTATGAGGTTTGGTATCCCTAGTGCCTGACAAGCTGCTCATTAAATCCTTGTTGAATGAGTAAGTGAGCAACCCTCAGGGAACTCCCCATTTGCTAGGGAGACTGCCAGTAACCCGCAGCCTGTCAGGCAGTAAGGATTGTATCTCTGGGGCCCCAGGCATGGTGGGAAATCAGAGGAGCAAGCCATGAGGCAGGACCTGAGCAAAGCTTTGTGAAGGATACAGCCTCTGAATGGCACTTCTGGATGTCCTCATCGTGTCCCTCTTCCCTTCTGGCTACCCTTCTCCTAAGCCTTTTCCCCAATCACTGTTCTTTTTCTGGGTGTGTTTTCTTTTATTTCTTTTCCAGTGGGTAATAGTAGGTGGGCCTTAGGGCAGGTGGCAATTTCTGGTCTTCTTTCATTGGAGGAGAGGAAGAGAGCCTGGGAGTGGGGGCGCGGTTATGGGCAGGCTGTGTGTTTGGAGGTCATGGCACCCTGCAGTCACCTCAGCTTCTTTCGTAATCCTAAGGCAGAATTATAGACCATGTGTAAGGCTGTGGGCCACCTGGGCCCCAGGGCTGCCTCCTGGTAAGACCAGGCATTGATTCCTTGAATTAGTTTCAAGGCTTCTCCTGTGGGTGGCTTTGGTGGTCTGACCACTTGATAGTCATAACTCTTAGTAGGGTGTATTTTCTCAACTGGAAAGTCACCTTACAGACAAGATTGGGGCAGGAAAAGGAACCGTTCCACCTGATTGGCCAGTGTGCCTATACTTTGCCCTCCAGGGGCAGAGGACTGGCCAGCTGGAGAGAAGAGGTGCAGGCCATAGCTTAAGGCAGGAAAACAAGGACGCCTGTGGCCTGGGGGCTGGCTCATGTCTACTTTTGCGAAAAGGTATTATTGGAACATATCTATGCCCATCCATTTAATAGGGTCTGTCACAGCTTTTCCACTTCGATGGTAGAGTTGAGCAGTTGCTGTTGGACCTGATAGTTCATAAAAACTAAACTGTTTACTGTCTGGCCCTTAGAAAAAGTTTACTGGCCCATGAGCAGAGGATGGCACTGAAGGGTCTGTGAGGTCTCCTTCCTCCTCCCTTCTCTCCAAACCCGTGTGTAAGACTAGACCATGTAGAACAAAACCAGACAACTGGGCTGTTCTTCCAGGTGGCTCACCTCGAATCAACCAAGTCTGTTTGTGGCACCAAGAAAAGCTGCAGAAGTAGGATGATGCAGGGCCCAGGCAAGGGCGGGTGTGGGACCCTGTGTGCTCAGATAGTCTAGGATGTGCCTGACCCACAGGGTGAGTGGAAGGTGGTCCTCTGGCCACGGTCAGCTGCCTAGGTATTTGTCTACCTGGGAGACCAGCCTGATGTAGCATGACTTCAGAAATAATAAAGTTTTTAAAAGAGTGACAGTATGGGGATTTTAGTTTTGTTTGGTCACCCCGTTAAGGTATATTTTCTATTTTCAGGAGGTTTAACTGTAAATACTGTTAGCAGTTAAAATGTGGAATTTGGGATCTATAAAAAACAAGTTAATTAATTAAGATCATATTTTTGTATCTTTTTTGAGAAAAAAGCATGTAGTAAATGCTTTCATTCTTGTCATTCTTTTATAGACCTAAATGAATTTTCTCTCATAATGAAGTAGTTGTGAACCCTTAGGCGATAAGGAGCATCTCTGATCCGTGCTCTGCTCTCAGTAAAAGTAATGTTGGCCATGTTATAAAAGTCAGTGGGTGTTTTCCTTTTAAGCTAGGCCTTTTTAATGGTAAGGGGGAGTACTTTCGAAGTAATTGGAAGTAAGATTATCTCTAGATTTCAGAAGGGCTACTTTTGTTTATCTTTAATTTTATTGCTTCTTTGCTGAAATGAGAATTGACTAGCACATTCAAAAGTTTTTATTTTCATTATTTTGATGCTGATGGCTGGTGCCCTTTTGCAAAGTCATGGGGCGTTTGTTGGCCTGGAAGATCCCAGATACCCCTAGGGGAATGGAGCTCTGTGTTCTCCTACTGGTTCCAGAAACAGAGGTTAGGGGTCCTGCTTCTCCGCTGCAGCCCTGCCCTGGGTGGGAGGGGCCTGGAGGCACTTGGCACCCAGACTCCATAGCTTTCTTCTTGCAGTGGCCTTAATGATATTGTTGGCTTCTGTCTTGGTTGTAACGTTGCCCTTCAGCATGCTTTGGAGTTTCCCACACTAAAACAAGCCCTTTATGTGAAATAACTCTAAGAACTTATTGACAGCACTGTGATTCCAGCTTCAGGTGACCTCATATGTCTCAGAGGGTCAACCTACCTGGCTGTTGACACAGGTGCCAGACCTTTCCCTTTATGAATCTGTCTAACCCCCCAGGACCTGCTACTACTACCCTCATGAAGAAGCAGAAGCTGAAAAATGAGAAGCAACAGAAGTTCGACTGATGGAGAAGCAACATTGCATTTTTTGTTTTCCTTTTAGGATTCCATCCCTGTGTCTACCTCCCTCCTTGGAGACACTTCCGACACAACCTCCACTGGCCTTGCCCAGCGCTTAGGTACGTGCCCATAGCGAGTGCTGCTAGAGCGACCAGATCGGGCCTTGCTGTTTGATGGGACCGTGAGGCAAGTCACTTTAGAAATAAAGGGTCTTTATACTGGGAGGTAAATCAACTCATCACCATAGGGTAAACATACACCTTTGTATATTGTGTCTTCTTTAGGAGGGCATATCCACGCCCACATGGTACCACCACTGTCTCAGGGCCAGCATGTTCCTAGGAGACTCCCATGTTGTGCCTTGGTTGCTTCCCAAGCTGATGAATGACAGGTGCTTTAGCTCCCTTCTGTAAGCACATCACTCCTCATGGGGGGAGAATGTGAATGATGCTCACAGTGTGCAGTAGGCAGTGGCTGCAGGTAACCTCCTGGGCCTTTTGGGGATTCAGTGGAGCCTGTGGAGCAGGTTGCCAGCGCTGTGCATGAGGGACTGTCCTTCACTCCCTGTAATATCATTCCGAATTCAGAAGGGAGGCTGGCCTGGCCTGCATGTGGCACGGAGTGAGTGTTAAGCAAGAACATGATGTTGAAGGGTCCACCATCCCCTACGTCCCCAAACACTCACTTCCTGTAAATATCCAGGCAGTTCAGGTAAGAGCAGCATGTGTTCTGCCCCCCGCCAGTGTGTGCAGTCACCTGTCGTCACAGAGTGTGCAGGGACCTGGGACAGTGCTCCCTTTCTCTGCCAACTGCTTTCTGAGGAGACACATTTCATCCAGGATACTCCTGCTTGGCAGTTCATTCAGTTCTCAAATAACTAGGGCAGCCTCTGTCTCATCTTCAGTCTTCGTGGATGCCAGTGTTCCCAGCCTGTTCAGTTAGAGAGCTAGTCAGAGGCCCAGTGTCCTGGTGCTGGGGGTATACGGCGAATGAGGCCCAGCCCCTATATTTTATCCAGTAGTTATGTTGAGATCCTGTCCATGTGATCCCTGATCCATGGGAATGTGTATGTCAGTCACTCTGGAATGCACCCACGCGGCTCACGTGGAGCGTGGGTCATGGTCAGGTTGAGGACAGGCCATGCCAGACCTGCCTCACTGAGCTCTGTGCGTGAGTAGGGTGGGGACCATGAGGCTGCTGTGGCAGCACTCCAGGACCATCCACCACTTTTTCTTTAGCCTGAAATTAGAGAAACCTGACTAGTAAGGTGTTTGGTAACTTATTAGGAAGCAATTTTAAATTTATGGAGAAGTAGCATAAAAAGATACAAAGAGTCCCCGCTCAGCCTGCACCCAGATTCCCGGTTGTCATCACTCCCTTCTATGTTCACATCATTGTTTTTTCTGAACTGCATAAAGGTGAGTCAGAGACTCAGCTGCTTCCGCGTGCTCCACTGTGGATCGCCAGTGTTTAAGGGGTGACCCTGCTTTGTTGTATAGCCTGTCGTGTGCCCTGCCTGGTTCCGTGAGGAAACGAGGCTGTTTATATTTCTAGAGCTAGGAAAGCGGGTGGATCGCCACAGGGTGGATGACAGGCTCTGCTAGTGCAGGGTGCTGGGGGCTTGTTTGGTGTGCTGCGAGTCAGTTGTTCGTGCCCAAAAAAGTAAGGTGGCTCACGGGTGTCCTAAATGTGGATGCCTAGTTTGTATGTAAAAAAACTAGAGGTTTTTTTGTTTGTGTTTTGTCCAAATATTGGTGCTTTTTAAAATTAACATTTTCCTCACATGGTTTACATCAATTTATAATAATCTACATTAATTGAAACAAAACAGAGACAAAATAATATCCTGACCATCTTATTAAATTCTAATATTAATGAGGGTTCCCATCCTGCCTGTATTAGCATAAACTGGCAGCTCTCCACCATTGCCCAATAAGGATGGGCACATGGAAAAAGCTTGAAAAGTTAGTGGTGTGATGTGGCTGCCAGCATCACCAAAGGCTGAGATCACAAAGGGGCAGTCCAGTACAGCCTATGCTGTTAAACATGTATTGAATTTGGTCACTAATTAGATGAAAAAATGACGGCTACACTAAATGAAATAAAGGAAAATGTATAGGGAACCAATAGTGATGGGAAGGACATTGTGACCCAAATCAATGGAGTGGACCAGAAGGAAGAAACATCCAATTAGGAAAGAATGAAGAAGCAAGAATTCAAAAAAAATGAGGAGAGGCTTAGGAACCTCCAGGACATCTTTAAACATTCCAACATCCAAACTATAGGGGTACCAGAAGGGGAAGAAGAGCAACAAGTGGAAAACTTATTTGAACAAATAATAAAGGAGAACTTCCCCAATCTGGCAAAGGAAATAGACTTCCAGGAAGTCCAGGAAGCTCAGAGAGTCCCCAACAAGTTGGACCCAAGGAGAAACACACCAAGGCATATCATAATTACATTAGCCAAGGTAAAAATGAAGGAGAGAATCCTAGAAGCATCAAGAGATAAGGGGACAGTAACCTACAAAGGAGTTCCCATCAGACTGTCAGCTGATTTCTCAAAAGAGACCTTGCAGGCAAGAAGGGGCTGGAAAGAAGTTTTCCAAGTCATGAAAGGCAAGGACCTACATACAAGATTGCTCTATTCAGCAAAGCTTTCATTTAGAATGGAAGGGCAGATAAAGTGCTTCTCAGATAAGGTCAAGTTCAAGGAGTTCATCATCACCGATCTGTTATTATATGAAATGTTAAAGGGACTCATCTAAGAAAAAGAAGATAAAACACTTGTAAAATGATAGCAAACACAATTATTAACAACCACACCTAAAACAAAAACAAACTAAGCAAACAACTAGAACAGAAACAGAACCACAGAAATGGAGATCACGTGGAGGGTTAGCAACAGGGGAGTGGGAGGAGGAGAGAGGGGGAAAAGGTACAGAGAATAAGTAGCATAGATGGTAGGTAGAAAATAGATGGGGGCGGGGCAAGAATAGTATGGGAAATGTAGAAGCTAAAGAACTTATGACACATGGACATGAACTAAAGGGGGGGAATGTGGGTGGGAGAGGGTGTGCAGGGTGGAGGAGTGAAGGGAAAGTGGGACAACTGTAACAGCATAATCAATAAGATATACTTTTAAAAAGTGTTATTATGCCAATTAGTTAAATGCATTATTAGCCATTGTCAGTTGTCTGGAAGGAGTAATGAGAAGACACAGTGTCCCCAACAGTATCTTCTATGGACGATGAAAAATAGTCGGGAAAAAGATGATCTAGAGGGTTCAGAGTGACCTTGGAAGCTTTGGAGGCTGTGGTGTGAATGGAAACCCCTTTCTGTGTGTGACTCGAGGCCACAGCTGGGACTGCTGGGTAGATGATGCAGGCAGATACAGGTTTGCTCCCTGAAAGTCCCTGTCCTAGCAAGTAGAGTGATTGGCATCAGAGTGGCCCTGCCTTTGGGACAGGGAATTTCCTGCCACTGAACGAGAGCAGGCTGAGTGGGCATGACTTGACAGGCACCAGCCTCACCTCCTCACCACCTTTTTTGCCTTCTATACTGGGATTAGTGTGGTCACCTTAAGTCCTTGGAGTGGGAGGGAGGTGGGTGGCTCTGTTGGGGAAGGAAATTGCACCTGCTCTGTGTGTGGTGTGTGGCTGAGGGAGGAGGCCCCAGTGCTGGTGCAGTCTCAGTATTTAACTGCTTCAGGCTTGCTGCCTGATGTGCCTTCAGGATATATGTGTCGTCTTTCATTTGGATTTCTGTAGTTGAAGTGGTACACCTTAGCTATTGTTGGTTCTGTAGAAAGGGACTAATGTACATTCAGTGTCAAGTTGAAAATTATACATTTGGGTGTACGTGTGTATGTGCACACACTAATGTGTATATGGATGTGTGTGTCTGTGTGTATGCACAGAAATGAGAAGTGAATTATCTCTAGGAATTGGTAGAGAGGATGGTACTGAAGGAGAACTTTAATATTTTATTTTAAATACTTGAATATTGTCCATGTTTTTTGAAAAGTGAAACAAACCAATAGTATGTGTAGAACAGTGTTGGTATTCGGATCCCCTGCAGCTCTCATGGGCATAGATCGCAGGCCCCAACCCCAGCCTTTCTGATTGGTCGGCCTGGGCAGTGGGGCCTGAGAACGCCTGTCTCTAACCTTCCCAGGGGATGCTGCTGAGGAGGGGCCTTCGCTTTAAGACCACTGTTCCAGAGACTTAGGTAGGGTCCAGTGATTTTAGTCCGCATTTGCAGCGGCTGCTTGTGAAGTCATAAAAACTAGAACTTTCTTCTCTCCTTGAAAGCCCATTGTCTTTTTCCAGATATTTCTCAACTACATGGCAGGCCTGAGACACAAAGAATCACCAGGTATTCCAGTCATGGCTGTGTCAATGTGTTTTCTCGTTTTAGCCAGGAAGACCAACAAGCAGGTGTTCGTCAGCTATAACCTACAGAATGCAGACAGTAACTTCGCATTACTTGTAGAAAACAGGATCAAGGAAGAAATGGAGGCTTTTCCCGAAAAGTTCTAGCTGAGTGGCCGAAGTGGGGATTTGTAACTTATGTACAATACACGTTTAAATAAAGGGATTGAGTTTCACTCTTTGTCACCAGGTTAATGTGTTTACATTTTGTTTTTAAAGTATTAATCTTACTAATTTTCCTTCTTCCCCTCAACAGACTCTGGGCCAAAAGGCTGTAATTGATCACGCCGGGGACTGAGGAAAGCAAAATGGGCAGTAGTTTCCTTGTGACTGCTCAGTGATGGAGAAAAGGAGCTAACACGGGGCTGTGTTGGGATTGCAGGGTAAATTAGTCCCAACTCTTGTTATGTCCACTCCCAGTTGAAATTGAGGTGATGACCCCTTCTCCGGTGGTGGTCCCCCTTGGGCTGGGTTGGATCCCCTCCTTGCTGCTCATGAGACTTGTGGTCTTGGTGAAGTCTCTAACTTCTTTGGACCGTGTTTCCTCACCTATAGAATGAGAATAGTCTTCACTCTGGTGGGTTATTTTTAGGATGGAATACACAGAAGTACTTTGCCAACCTGAAGTGCCATGGCAGATAAGATGTCAGTTACGGTTTTATCTTTGTCATGTTTGTGGGGTCCAGATGCTTGCTCTTCCTGTCTTTCCTTCCTTCTCTTTTTTCCCCAAGTTCCAAGTCATCTTTAAGTCTTAGCTTTTTCTGTCTACCACTTGAAGTGGATTCTAATCTTTCCAATACCAAATGCTACACATTTTTTCCCCCACTTCTTTCTTCAAAACCCAGTATTTCATGGGTCAGCGGCTTCTAACCTTGGCTTCGCATTTGAATCTCTAGGGAAGTTTTCACAGATTGCTCGTGTTAGACCTTTTCCCAGAGACTCAAATGGCCTGGCATTGGCAGTGTGGAAAAGCTCCCCAGGTGCTTCTCAGCACAGGCAAGGTTGAGGACCACTGACAGAACTTTGTAATCTTTTGGGTCCACCTGGGCCTGTTTTGTTACTGGAAGAGGATAGTTTAGGTCTCTAACACTTCCATGTGGTGGTGAAAGTCACTGAGCCAGTGGTAAGCAGCCAGGGGTGGTGACACTTGGCCAGGGCACAGAGGCATTTCAGAAGACTGGGTCTGGGCTTTACGAGGCTTCCCTCCTTAGCGGGCTTCTGTGCTTGGCAGCACAGTGGGCACCTCTCTAGGAAGAGTAAGTGACACAAAATTAGGGCTATGGAGAGAAGAGTTTGGTATAAAACTTTATTAAAGAAACATTGTTTTCTTGTTAAAAAACCACTACATTAAAGAAGAGTGTTGTGGATTATCAGTCTTCCCTCACAGAATCACAGGTTGAGACAGTCATTTCTTGACTTCCCTAGGACTCGCAGGCCACGATCAGCAGGACATGAGTACACAGGAGAAGAGACCTCAAACTTACTGATGGTCTGAGAATGGTTCTAAATAGACAGTTCATGTTTGATCCTGTCTCCGCCTCTGCCTGCCTTTCAGACTGGACCTCTGCCAGCAGATGAGAGGCCACCCCCGCTCCCAGGCTGAAGGAGTCTCAGTTTACAGAGGCGCTAAAACAGGGACACAGCAAGATCTGAATGGAGAGTTTTTTTATTACTTGTAGTCAATGGTTGTGAAATGCCCTTTATTGGATACCATCAGATGAGGTAGGGAAGACATTCCAGAGGAAATTTGTTAATGGGGCAACATTTTTATTTCTGTACATTTACATACAAATTTTTACCAAAGGTACAACAGATGTGACATCATGCAGACATTTAGCTTTGAACACAGTTCAGAACTCGATTTAGGCTTGTGCTGTGAATGAGCACCTCCAGATTGATCCCGGTTGACATGTACAGTAACATGGTCTGACTAGAAACCTCAAGTGGGGGTGGCAGGAAGGACAGAGGGAAGTATTCCCACTCGACATAACACACTGTGCTGCTTTTCCAAAACGACACAGCAAAGCAAGGAGTACTTGGAAGTGAAGTGTGGGCCTTCCCCAGCACGTGCCTGCCCCATGCGCCACCTAGGGGCCGGGCAACACGATGGTCACAATTCGTTTAATGGCACTTCAGTCATTTCTTATTTGGCTCTAGGAAGTGGTATTGTTTGAGTGCGATACTTCCTTTACGAGGTTTATTTTTGCTTTCTGGTCTGTGGCCAAAACAACTTACCATCCCCTTTCTTCTAGTTGCGAATAATTACACTCTTAGAAAACAAAAATATTAAAACTTTTTCCTGTACAGAAAAACTTTTTCTAGTCTTGGGTGCTAGTACTCTCAGATATTTGATAAGAGTTACTGACTTCTGGAAAAGAAAGTGAAGACCTGTCTAGCCCTGCCTCAGGTGTTCACATTTGTGCATAATTTTATTGGAAGGGATCACAGCTCCCTGGTAGGAAGGCAGGATGCAGGTGTGGCTGGTGGAGAAGAGTGGCTGCAGCACATACCCGGATGGGTCTCCCCAGGCAGGGGAGGAGGTGGTGGGGAGGCAGACTTGAAATGCCTGAGAGCTGTTTCCCTACTGACCATGAAGGAAATGGGACTGAGGAGTCCAAGCACGACCAACAGCTGCCAGGGAGCTGGCGGCAGCCCCTTTCGTGCAGAACAGGGCAGGACCGGACGTGTATCAGGCTCAGGTGGGCCTTTGACGCCTAGCCCACTTGGTGTGGAATTTCACGGTGCTCAGTCCACAAGGAAGCTTTTCTGTTTTGGGTATATTTCATAAAGATGTTCCTCAAGAGCTTCAGATAGCCTTAAGCTAAACCAACAACAAGAGATCTCAGCCTAGTCACGAGGCTGCTGGGAGCAAAGAGCTGTGTGACCTCTGCCCAGAAACATCTACTGATTGTCTACTCATTTCACATCCTAGACCTCAGTCGCAAGAACCCAGTCCTCACAGCTAGCTTCTCTTGTCATCTGTGGGTTAGTCCTGATTGCTGAAGTGACAGTGCTGTCTCTATTGGACCAGTGTTTTTGTCAGGATGGAGATCAGAGACCTTGGAACAGGAGTTTAAAATGCTGTGCCATGCCTCCACCTTCCTACATTACTGGCAGCTCTCTCTAGCTTCGGTGCAGTTCTTAGAGCAGGTCTCTGTGATCTGTGAGGGAATACTCACAGGTCCTTCTGCAGGACAGTAAAGGGGCTGAAAGGTGTCCTGGTGCTGGGGTGATACATGCAGAAATACACCCAGCCAGGGGCTGGCCCAGGACCTCCCGGGCTCCTTCCCAGCTTCCTCGGCTGCCCAGTGGCTTGGCTGCTGCATATGTCATGTCCTGGACTTAATGGATCTTGCTGCCAGGTGGCTCTGTAGCAAATACTCTAAAAAAGGCAAAAGGTATTTCATAAGTTTGGCACACAAAGGCTGCACTTTGTAGAGGCCTTTTTAAACTAAGGTGGATGTGGACTAACATTGAAACATGGAACAAAAGTGACTTAAAAGAGACGAGAGAAGGCGAGGATGAACTGGGCTGGAACAGGGAGACTGGCCACATGGCCTTCCTTCCTAAGCAGTGGTCCGTGGATGAGGCTGGAGATTCCAGGCACTACTGATTTGACAGAGAAAGTGCGGTTTACTCACTGGAATCACACATGCTTGCCCGTTTGTTCACCTCTTCACCATGTTTTTATCAAGCCAGCAGCTTCCTATTGATGTCCACCAGATTTGGAGGACAGTGGTGGGTGGAGACAGAAAGATGCAGACAACATAGAAAGCTAGAAGGGGAGAAAGGCAAGTTAAGTCACCCCCTTTTGAGGCCCTTTGAGTTCTAGTAACTGTCAGTTGGAGGTCACCTGATTCACAGACCTGAGACGACGATTTCCTTGGAAAAAACACAGCCCATGTCACAAAGTCGTGGGGAGAGGTGGACACTTGTAGAAAGAACCCATGCTGTCTAAAAAAAATCAGGTGCCTATATTACTACAAGGTAGTGCCTGCCTATGCCAATGAAGCTTGTTTCTCAGTGGCCCCTGGGTGTCCTTGAGGAGGCCCTCCGAGTTTCCTCTGAAACACTCCTCAACAGGTGGAGAAAGCCTGACATGAAAGGGAAGAGGAAGCTTTGGGACCACATGAAGAACACAATGAAAACTTTTGGATATCAGGGATGGGGATGGGAGTTGAACTTTGATGAGTTATTGCTTTCTCTCAAATGGTCTTGGTGCTTTAAGAGGCAGGAGGTCAGTTGGACTAGGAGGAGAGCATTCCACTCCTTGCCCTAAGCTCCACCTCTGTGCTGATGGAAGTGGCAGGAAGCAGGTAAGGGCAGGCATGAAGGAGATGGGCTCCCACAGGTTTTACAGTCTCTCAGCGTGAAATTAAGTGAGAGCTGACAGTTATCCAGGCTGGTGATTTCTACGTGGTGTGTGCTCCAGTTGTGCGTGAAGGGCCATATTTGGGAGAGCACCCCTCCCTCCTGTGGGTTTGCCTTAGCTGTCTATGTCAGTTCTTACCCTATTGGTTTCAGTTCCGAAAGTAGCCACGTTTTCAAGTAGTTCTGGAAAAAAAAGCTGACAGTGAAAGAGGGAACTTTGCTGTAGGAGCCAAGTCTGAGAAGGAGTATTAATGCTAACATGTCTCAGACTTTCACACTTGCTAGTTGTGAACTTAACTAGGTATACTTGGTCAGAAAACTGGCAACATTGTTGCTAATTATTTAAGATTCGTGGTTACATGTTTAAGGTTTTCCCCAAAGGATTTCCAGCATGAAGTACCAAAGGATGATGATCTTGAAGGAAAGACTAAGCTGGTTTTAATGATATTGTAAGCTGCTTTCCCCCAAAACACGTAACAGAAGCTCTGACCTTACAGACAGAAAACACTTTACAAACCATAACAGACACCCTAGCTAGCAAACACCTGATCATTTACATTTCTGTGTCTAAGTATCAGTTGGGAACGGCTCCGTGGTGGGTGTCTGCACACACGCAGGCAGCATGGGTGCAGCTTTGAGTGGGTGGCACCTGGCTGCTCAGGGGGTGGCGGGCAGCAGCGAGGGATCTGTGCGGTGATCGACTGCTGTGCTGGGGCGACTGGGTCCCTCTCTTGAAGGAGGTGGTTCTATTGCAAGGTCAGTGAGAGGAAAGGGAATAAAGTGCTTCTCGTAAAAATGACCAAAA